TGCCAAGCTCAAGTCAGTCAGCCTTGAACTCTCAATCCTCAGGGCATATTCACCAACCACCTCCATAATCCCAAGAATGTGTGATCAAGATGTCCAAACCAGTGGATGCTCAAAAACCCTGAGCACTGGCTGCCTCCCCAGGACAGCACAGATCTCTGTTAGGAGAATACACCCCAGTCACACTGGGCCCAGCACAGGTAGAACCACGGCCGGGGCCAGCAGCTCAGCTGCTCCGGCTCTGTGGAGAGGGAGAACATCTCTTTACCCTGTGAACTTCGTTCAGGAAGGACGCTGGGCCCTTGGTCTGCCTCTTTTGACCCCCATGGAACCCAAGGGAGAGGATTGAGGCAATGATGGGGTGCCTGAAGCTGGGAGGTTGCTACAGCACCCACTTTTGTGTGGCTTCTGAGGCTTCCAAAACAGTAAGGTTTAGCTAGGCCTTCCTGATTAAACCTGAGAACAAACGAGAAGCAAGCCCACGCAGCTGCCCTGGTTCAAGGCTGGTCCTGGATTTGCACACCACCTGGTAATGGCAGGGGAGAAAGTGCTGCCTGCAGCTTTGAGCTGGCAGAAGACACCAGGTCACCTGGATGCCCCTGCTTACAGATGGTAGAGTTAAGCCTCCTCACCTGGCAATAGGCACAAACAGGCAGCCAGGCTCCTGTTACCAGTGAGGCTCAGAATGGCTGGCCAGGACTCTTCTGAACACCTTTGGGTAGAGTGTATGTATGTACTCCCAGAACTCAGGGAGGCTGAGGCAAGATTGCCTCTAGGGGAAGGCTAGCCTGGGCTTTATAATTCCAAGTCAGCTTGCAGCTGATCATGCCAGCTAACCTACATACACACACACACACACACACACACACACACACACACACACACCGTGCTGTTCAGAAGACAGATGGACTGGGGGGGGGGGGTATCTCAGCAGTGGTAGAAGTTGTGTGCTTGCAATCTGTCCTCAGCTCCAAGTGCTCTGAGTCCTTGAGTCTTGGGGACAACGAGGACCTGCTCTCACACCTTGGACTTGGGCAGGTATCCTGTCATGGACACTGGTGAGAATACTTTAGCTTTCCAGATCTTACAGGGTGACTACAGGGTGACTACAGCCACTTCCCCGAAAAGACACACCTGGTCACCTGGTGTGAGACCAGACAGTCTTAGCTACCAAGGCTGTTGGATGGTCCAGTTTTCTTCTCAGTCTCCAGAGTCGCCCAGCAAGCCCTGCTTGTCAGCATAGGACAAAGGCTGCCTGCTCTGCTAGCCCTGGATCAGTGTAAGCCGTAAGTGTCGATGGAGATGCAGATGGAGGAACCTTCAGCATGTGCCATCTGGAAGACTGCTTGTTCTGCTGTTAGCCTACCGAGGACACCTGGCTTCCTCCCTGCCTCTTGGCTTTGGTAGGGACAGCAGGGAGCTCACACCATCATCCATGCAAGGATCCTCCGCAGGGTGCAGCCTCCCAGGTGTCCCCACTGTACCATGGGACAGGCAACAGACAGCACTGCCAGGTTCCCCAGATCAGGAGCCAGTCCTCATCAAATCAACTTTCTGGTGTTTTGTTTTTTGTTTTTGAGCTTCTCAGCCCGAACCATGTACACGGGGCCCTCTCAAGTGAAATTGGTGCCATTTCTCAAGGGAAATGAAACTCAGAAGATATGTGGACAGAAACGCATTTCCTAAAGAAGTGTTCAGCCCAGACGCTGCATGAGAAGTCTGAGGCCCCCAGCTACTGTTCTTAATGCAACCACACTTTGTGGGTTTTTAAAAAGTTATTATTTAAACTTCATATATGTGCATGTTTTATATGCATGTATATATGAGCACTACACGTGTACCCAGAATTCAGAAGAGGACATTGAACCCTCTGGCACTGCAATTATAGATGACTGAGAGCCACCGTATGGGTCCTGAGAATCAAACCCAGGTCCTCTGTAGGAGCAACAAGTGCTCTAAACCACCAGACCAGCATGTGTGTGCAGCGCCGTGTGTGTGTGTGTGTGTGTGTGTGTGTGTGTACATGTGTGTGCAGTGCGGTGTGGGGAGTTTAAGGCAAGCATGAGTTACATGCACTCCTCTCTTTTAAGAAAGATAGAGAAAAAAAAAGAGCTGAGCATGGTAGCTCTAATCCTGGGACTCCAGGGGCTACAGAGATAAGAACTCCAGTTTCAGGGGATCTGACACCCACTTCTGACATCAAAGGGCACCAGGTACACATGTGCTCGTACATATATATGCAGGCAAAACACCTATACACATAAGTAATTCTTTTTTTTTTTTTTTTTTTGTTTTTTGGTTTTTCGAGACAGGGTTTCTCTGTGTAGCCCTGGCTGTCCTGGAACTCCCTCTGTAGACCAGGCTGGCCTCGAACTCAGAAATCCGCCTGCCTCTGCCTCCCAAGTGCTGGGATTAAAGGCATGTGCCACCACTGCCCGGCCACATAAGTAATTCTTAAAAAATAACTTAACAAAAAAAAGAAACAGGAGGTAGAGAGATGGCTGTCAGTCCAGTGCTTGCCCGACAAGCCGAGGCCCTGGATCGGATCCCGTGAGAGCACACTGAAAGCTGACTGCAACGGTGCATGTTTGTGATCCCGCCACCAATACAGCGGAGACAGACAGACTTATTTTGAACTGATCTTTCTGCCTCTGCCTCCTGAGTACCAGGATAGGCACATGCTCCGCCTTGCCTGGTTTATGCAGTGCTGGGGCTAGAACTCAGTGTCTGCACGCTGGGCAAACACTATACCAACCCAGCCACAGCCCCAGCGCCCATGGCCTTAACTGATGTGACCTTTCTCCGTCAATCCCAAGCTACAGTGATGGCACTGAGCTGTGGTTACTTCAGTGGCTACACATAGAGACCTCCCTCCACAGTCTTCACAGGTGCCACTGTGATCTCCCTCAGAGATCCAGCGGAGAGGCGGTGTTAGGTTTGGGGGCAGGAGGCATTTAGGGGAAACACTGTGATAGATTACTGTAGAGCAGTGCTTCTCAACCTTCCTGATGCTGCACCTTTGATACAGTTCCTCATGTTGTGGTGACACTCCTCCCACAACCATAGAACTACTTTCGTTAGTACTTCATAACTGTATGTTTGCTACTATCATGAACTGTTATGTGAATATCAGGGTTTCCCGTTGGTTTGGGGGGGCTCACGATCCACTGCTGGATTAGAAGTGTTGCTAACATGGGCAGGCAGGCAACAGCATGGTTGGAGTTAGTTCAAACCCAGTGCCAGAGACAGCATGGAGAAGTCTCTGAAGAGAGAAATCAGAGCCCACTTAGCAGAAGTAGGGATCTGTTCTTGTAGTTTCTGAAGATGGGGAAATAGCAAAACCAGCTGCTGTGTGCTTCATTCCCGGCAGGGGCCGGGGTAAGGAAAGGAAGCGTTGCTTCCATGTGGACTTGGCTCCCCACGTGAGAGAGCTCACGCACACAGTCTCTCCCTCTCCCTCTCTAACCCCTCCCCTCCCTCTCCCTCTTCCCCTTCCCCTTGCCCTCTCCCACCTCCCCACCCCGAGTTGGGTTCCTGCAGTATCTTTGCTACCAGCAAAGAGTGGCCACAACAGAGACTGCATTCTACGATTCTGATCTTGTCTCTCTTGCACCAACTCGGTCCAGGGACCTTCCTGGAGGGCACATGGACAGCAGAGCCCCAGGAGACTTCAGACAGCCCCCAGAGCTTCTAGTGCGCATGACAGGCCTCCCAGCCGGGTGTCTGAAGGCAGCATCATTAGACCCAGAGACCAGGATCCTGGGCCTGGTTGCCGAGGTCATGCTTTGTAGACAGTGGAAGGCTAATTCCCCCTCCCCAGGTCATCACCTCACTATTCCACTGCCCTGTCTGCTCCCTTGATGGACCTTGGCCCTGGTGGTGCTGTGTCTTCCCCCCAAACCTCCCATGGTTGTGGGATCAGAGGCAGGCCTGTCTGCCCCGGGTGTTGGGGGGGTGCTGTCTGCTTTTTTCCATTGCTGCAGTTTATACAACACTCAGCCACACAGCCTCTGGGACCTGGCCAGAGCCAATCGGAGCTGGTAGCCAGGACAACCAGACTCCCCTTCTACCCTTGGGCCTAAGTTAACCCCCCAGACTCCTTTCCTTGTCCCCAGAGGGCCCTCAGGCACCCTGCCCAGAGTGCCTCCTCAAATTGAGACCTCTCCAGCTGAGGGAATACAGGGTAACTTTGGGGGAGGAAAGCAAAGCGAAGGCTACTGTGCAGAGGAGGGTGTCCTGCTGTAGCCTCTGGAACCCCTGCTGGCCAGCTCCTCTGTGGACTGAGGAGGAACTGCTCTTATTTGAGCAGATGTGGGTGTCCGGTGACTGAACTGTGGGCATGGGTTCCCAGGGAGGAGGGAACGCTTCTGTTTGCTGTATCTTGTTACTCTGCCCTGGGGGTGGGACTAATGGGAACCTGGGATCTCGGGGGAGCTCGCCCTTCCTGGAAAGGCTGGGGTGGTGTGCTTGGGTTCCTCACCATGTCCCCACACCCTTTCCGGGCTTCTAGCTACTTCAGAGTCAACACTGGTTCTGCTTTTTCCAGGAAAGACAAAGTGGGCTGACATGCTGGCCCCGATGCTTGTCCCCATGGTGCTGTCCTCCACTTTACTCCTAGGAGAGGGAGGGAGAGGGCAGGCGTGGGCTTCCTGGACAAGATGTCTCCAGCCACAGCAAAGTCCCCACTCTGCAGGGTGTTCACTGAGAGGTGTCCCTAGCAATGGAGACCATGTCAGCCACAACCTGGGTCTTCTGGACTAGCAGGAGCCAGCAGCCAAGAACTTGCCAGAAAAAAACTAGACAAGGTGTCCATGGGACTGCTGCCCTCTGATGGCTGCTGTGGGTACTACGCAAGACTCAGGAACCGATGAAGGAATGGGACTGTGGTCACTCCACTTGAAACCAGTCAGGTGGATTCAGCACCTGAGCTATGAATAGAAAGGTGGGCGGGCAGTGTTCTGTCTTAGAGCCAAACCCACACCCAGACTGTCCTTGTCTTTCAGGTGCAGGAGCCCATCCCCGAGTTGTCCCCAGAGGAGAGGAGGGTCTTGGAAAGGAAACTGAAGAAGGAACGGAAGAAGGAAGAGAAGAAACGGCTGAGGGAGGCGGGCATTGCCGCAGCACAGATTGCCAGGGTTCAGACCCTGCCAGCCAAGCCCTCAGCTGCTGTTCTGGCCCTGGAGTACCTCCAAGGGTAAGTGCTGTTGTGGGCTCAATCCAGAACATTCTGCCACTGCCATGGTGCTGGGTAGAGCTTGGTCCATTGTAGCAGGTGGGGAAGGGTGGATGGTCCAGCCCAGTCACCCTTTGACAGGTATTGGGAAGGCCCCTGCCTGCCTGTTCTATATCCACAGAACTGCCTTCAGACATATCCCCTCCTCTTTTTATCCTGTGGCAGTGTCCTGGGGCCACTGTGTGCTCATACACACCCCAGTGGAAGGCATGATGACACAGCCTGAACCACAGTAGATTTTGGATTGTGACAAACCTTCAACTAGGACTCTTCCCAGGTGTTTTGTTTTTAAGATTTCTTTTGGAGCTGGAGAGGTGGCTCAGTGGTAAAGAACACTGGCTGTTCTCCCAGAGGATCTGGGTTCAATTCCCAGTACCCATGTGGCAGCTCACAGCTGTCTATAACTGCAGTTCCGTGGGATCTGATGCCCTCTTCAGGCCTCCACAGGTTCCTGCATTCATAGTTAAAAATAACTAAAACTATTTAAAGAAAAAAAATAAAAAGAATAAATTTTTTTAAAGATTATTTTTATTTTACTTACTGGATTTATGAAACAGAGTTTTTCTGTTGGCCTGGCTGTCCTGGAACTTGCTCTGTAGACCAGACTGGCCTCAAACTCAGAGATGTGCCTGCTTCTGCCTCCCAGAGTGCTGGGATCAAAGGTGTGCACCACCACACCCAGCAACCTTATTTATTCTGTGTGTGTGTACATATGAACACACATATGTACCCGTGGAGGTCAGAAGATAGTGTCAGACTCCCTGGCTCGCAGTTCAGGCAGAAGAGTATACACACCCTTAACTACTGGGCTGTCATTCCAGCCCCTCCCCAGGCAGTCTTGTTAATGAGACACAACGTCTGACAGAGGTGTCTAGTGGCAGGAAGGCCACCGTTCAGGACTGCAGCTAGCTCATCATGGCGGAGGGTGACACAGCTAGTCACACAGTGTCCTCGTGTGGCAGAAAATAGAGATGAACGCTGCTGCTTTCTCCTTTTTATTTGGCCCAGAACCCCAGCCCATGGGACAGAACCCCAGCACATTCAGGGAGGGTCTTTGCACCACGATTAACCCCTCTAGATACTCACTTACAGATGTGCCCAGAGGTTTGCCGCCTATGCAATTCTAGGTCCCATCAAGTTGATGGTATTAAACCATCACGCTAGGAAGATGCTGAGAGACATTTGGCTGGTGGTGGTAAGCAGCTGGAGCCTCACAGCCACTCTCCTCAGAGAGCTCCTTCCCGGGACCTGCGCATTCGGGTCCAGCGCCTCCATGCATGAGGCAGAGGCCACTGTGGAGATGGTGGCCTGCCTCTGAGTCAGGTCAGCCTTTAGGCAGATCAAAGGGACCCGGATGGAGCATTGTGGAGAGGTGATTTGGCAGGAGCCATAGAGGCAGAGGGCTATCCTTCACCCCAAAGCTGGGCTGTAGCAGGATTCCTTGCAATTGGTCAGTTGAGGTTTCCTGAAGCGAAGGGATGATGGAACCCATGAGCTAGAGAGTGGCCTTCTGTTATACGCAGTGTTCCTCAGGCCCTGCTGTCTTATGCCCATGGCTCATAAGGATCACTTAAAGCAGGCAAAGGTTCAGGAGAGGACGTGGAGATTCCCAGCCACAGGCTCATGTGCCAAAGAAAGTCTCAGTCCCAGAATGCTCTAGAAGACCACAGAGGCCGATGGGCCTTGGCACAGAACCTTCTGGAAATCAGATAAGTTCAGTGCAGCCAACTCCTTCATTGTAGGCCTGGTAATGTCTCTGTCAGGACGGTGGGCCAGGCCCAGGTGGCAGTTGAATCCTCGTACTTCATCCCAAGCCTGGTGTGTGCTTGGGCTCTGTTCTCCTGGATTCTCCACCGTTGTATCCAGAGAGGGGATGGCACAGCCTCACTTCCCATACCAGATGGCTGGGAACTAGGGGAGACCTGAGGGTGTCTGCCAAATGGCCACATCCCACCGTGAAGCTCCCTGGGCTCAAATGCAGTCCTGCCCTGCATTTCAGGTATTTGGGGTGTGTCCTGAGTGTTCTGGTCTGTGTGTAACCTCTAGCTGACCTTCTCAGCCTGTGGTCCTGTCTCTGCATCCTCCAGTTCTGGAGAAGCCACTCTCGGGGACTTGGGATGTAGGACAGCAATGGAAAGATGTATGGTGTGGGGACCTTGAAACAGGAGACACTCAGAAAATATAGCCTTTGATTGTCCTTGGGGTCCTCACAAAACCAGAGGCCCTCCGTGGGCTTGGTATTAGGTAGAGCTCAGCTCAGCCCTGAGGTGGGGTGAGAACAGTGGCCTCGGTGGACAGCCTGTGAGCCCTCTGCAGCAGCTGTGTGAGCCAGAGCAAGGGCCTGAGGTGCAAGCTGAGTACCAGTCTTAGTCCTCCCCTGCTGGTGCCTCTGCCCAGGAGGGTGTGGAGACCTGGTGGGTGGACTGGGGGTCATGCCCAGTCATTCAGGGGCCTGCAAGGAAATTCCAGCTAATGATGGCATATTCCTGACCCTCACTGGCCCGGGCAGAAACATCAGTGAGGAATTAGTGAACCAAGGCTGAGCAGATGACACAGTCCTTAAAGTGTTTACCACAGAAGCTGGGGCTGAGTGTGGATCCCCAGAATTCATGGAAGAGTGTGAGGTCCTTCCTGTAATTCCATCTTCTAATGGCAGAGATAGGGAATCCCCAGTCCAAACTGACTAAGGAGACCAGCCATATTGGCACGTCTGGGTTTGATTAAGAGACCCTGCCTGCCTCAGCCGGGGCTTGACCAAATAAGGCTGTCACAAAAAAGAGTGAACAGATTCAAGGCACGTAGAATGCCGCCTTGAATGTTGTAAAATGGAAGCGTTGAGGAAGATGACCCTGTATCCCTAATGTTACAAATGTAGGCACTGCATCTGGACTGAGGACTCTCAGTGGACATGTTGAGGGCATACCCTTGAGCCAGACTCGGCCACCACATGCTCTCAGGCAGTCTGCCCCCCAGCCCCTGGGGCTTCGCATCCTGAGGTATCTTCCTTGTTCCCAGGTGGGCTCAGAAGCAGGAGAGCTGGAGATTCCAGAAGACGAGGCAGACGTGGCTCTTGCTCCACATGTACGACGAGGACAAGGTCTGTGCACAGCGGGCCATGGGGTGGGGGTGGGGGCCCTTCATGGGCCGTGGGACACTCAGGTCACAGAGTCCCTGTATGGCAGGCCAGCACCAGGTCCATGCACCACACATGGACAACTGAGCAAACTTCCTACATGGCTCAAACTCCTCCCCCTCCTCTCTGTCCCACAGGTACATACCACCACACCCAGCTTATGCAGTGCTGGGAATGGAAGCCAAGACCTTGTGCCCATTAGGCAAGTTCAAGGCCAGCCTGGGCTAGAGACAGTGTCTCAAAAACGTTTTTGTTTTTGTTTTTTTTGCTGGGTGGTGGTGGCGCACGCCTTTAATCCCAGCACTTGGGAGGCAGAGGCAGAGGCAGGCGTATTTCTGAGTTCGAGGCCAGCCTGGTCTACAGAGTGGGTTCCAGGACAGCCAGGGCTATACAGAGAAACCCTGTCTCGAAAAAAAAAAAAAAAAGTTTTTTTTTTTTTTAATTTATATAGGGAATGTCTGAGGTACTGGAGAGTCAAGCCAGCACACTGGCCTCTCTTCTACCGTGTCCCCACCTCTTGTCCTGACAAAGTAGCAACAGGGTGGACTGGGGTTCCTTGCACACAGCTGTACTGGGAAACCCCATCATGAAGACAACATAGGTTGGTCCCCCCAGTCAAGCGCAGGGAGAACCCCCATATCCCATTGCTTGCCCACTGCTCAGGGCTTGGCCCTCAACACTGTCCTCTTCTCCCTCCAGGTCCCCGATGAGCACTTTTCTACCCTGCTGGACTACCTCGAGGGGCTGAAGGGCAGCGCCCGAGAGCTGACAGTCCAGAAGGCCGAGGCCCTGATGCAGAAGCTAGATGAGGCTGACCCCGAGGCCAGAGACAGGTCACTGGGGAAGATGCAGCGCCTCCGGCAGGTTCTACAACTACTCTCCTAATGGGAAGAGGTGGCCTTGGGCCCTGAGGACTCACTGGCTGCCTCCTCCCAGAGCTGTGGGAGCAGCAAGTTTTGAGTCCTGAGAAGAACCCTTCCTCCCCCTCCTCATAAGCTGTAACAGTTTCTGGTGCCTTGGGAGTTGAACATGGTCTCCCTGAAACAGCTCTGAGTGCCACTCCCACACGAGTGGCCCTAAAGTGGCCATGGACAGAGGCTACTTTTTCTACCAAGGATAAGAGACTGGCCTAAGCTGGCTTTCCCCATTTCCCCACTAGCTGGGATTCCCTGCTCTCTCTCCCCCACCCCCCAACTCTCTTTCGGGGGGGGGGGGGCTCCTACATATTCAATCTGGGGGCTATTGAGTGCAGCCTGGACACACCTCAGCCGTCTGTAGGGAGACCCTGTTGAGGGCTTGTATTGAGACCCCTGGGCCTGTGTGGCTGCCCCTGAGCTGTGAGTGGCTGCTGCTCCATGATTCCTACACGTTTCAACAACCCTATGCTGCCCTTAGTGTCAGCGCCAGGCTCAGTTTCTTCTCATTGCACCTCTCATCCAGCGTGTTGGAAACAGAAGGACTAAGAGTTTGTATCTGGACGGATGTCACCATCAGAACACTGCCCCACTTCCATTGGGTGACTTTTCCTTCAGACCATAAAGAATCGCCTATAGATGCCACATAGGGAGGGCGCTGACAGGCTGGAGAGGATTTGCTACAAGTCCAGCTCATTGGGCAGTGAGGTCGCTGGGGTCTGCAGATGGGAGCCATGGAGTGTCCGCCTTCCGCCTCCGCTGGTCTCCAGCCCACAGCTGCCTGAAGTCCTCATCCACAGCCCCTCTGCGTCACAGTCACTTTTACACACCCTGGGTGTAGAGGTATATAAAGGAGGGTTACAGATAAATATAGACTGTATCCCGAGAAATTTATTTTAAAACGATTCTGAATACAAATAATTTTCCATTTATTAAAGATGAAAGCTAGTTTGCGTATTCATGACTGTTTGTCTAGTGCTGCACAGTCCACAGATAACGCAGCTTGCTCTGTTGCTGAGAAACTGAGGCTACAAAAGACACTGAAAGCTTGTTTTCTATAAAAAGAACAGAAACCTTTGATTTTAAAGCCATGAGACTCTTTAGCCCAGCACTCAGGAGCAGAAGCAGGCCAGTCTCTGTGAATCTGTGGCCAGCCTGGTCTACAGAGTAAGTTCCCCGCCGGCTAGGGTCACAAGCCCAGAGACTGATGACATCTGGCCCCTAGCGACGTGTTTCAGTTGCGTATTATGTACAAGAGCGTGCACACGTGCTCAGAACCAAGGCTGCGGGTAGGATTGTTACACAGTTGCTTTTTGTTGGTTTGGTTTGGTTTGGTTTTTTTCTAGACAAGGTTTCTGTGTGTAGCCCCGGCTACCCTGGAACTTAGTTTGTAGACCCGACTGGCCTTAAACTCACAGAGACACCTGCCTCTGTCTCCCACCACCAGGCTTCTAATTTTTTGATCATTACACAGATACATCTGACTTTCCAAGTGTTTTTTTGCCCAAGTAGGGTTACAGCCCACAGTGGAAGAGGCAGGAGGGAGTGGTGGCTGAGACCTCTGGTAGGTCAGGTAGTCCTCCCTCTCACTGTCCCTTTCCTACAGGACTGTTAACAGGCTGTAGCTCTCCAGGGTCTTCCTCAGGTGATGACAGCTGCTCTGGTCCAAGGACAGAGGACACAGTCCACCACCCACTCACAGCTCCAAGTGAGCAGGACATGCGTCACAGGGAGGAGACGGGCATTCGGGGCCAGCTGGGCTGAAGCCAGGTTGCCCTCAGCTGCCTGGAGGCCCAGGTGTTCACAGCGTCCTGAGCCTGTGAGAGCAGCCACAGTTCATTCAGATCCAACTGCCACTAGAGGGCAGTCCCCAGGCCCCGACCTTAACCTGGTGTCCTCTCATGCTTTCCTACCTGGGACAAGATGCCACCTGGCAGAAGAGACGGGGAAGCCTCCAGGCTTCAAACCGTGCAAGCTCACTTGAGTGGAGCAGAGCCCAGCTGGCCTTGGGTCTTGTAAAAGTGATGAGATTGGCAACGGTGGCGCACACCTTTAGTCCCAGGAGGCAGAGGCAGGCGGTACTCTGAGTTCAAGGCCAGCCTGGTCTATAGAGCAAGTTCTAGGACAGCCAGTGCTACACAGAGAAACCCTGTTTCAAAAAGCAAATGTGGTAGGCTTGTTTCAGGTCCCTAGCACTTGGGCATGGTAGCCAAATACTGCATTAATGTGTGGAGACAGGCAGCCAGCCACAGCATGGACCTCTTCCTGGACCGCTGGGTCTCACAGTCTATTTATAGCCAGACCCGACCACACCTACAAAGCCCTGTCCCCAGCCTTGCCCTATGTCCCTTAGGCACTTCTGTCACTTCAGGTTTAGTTACTTTAAAGCACTGGCTGAGGCTAGCACCAAAGCAGTGCACCACCAGAGCCCAAGGGGGCCTCATTCATGTCTCTCTAGTCAGTACTGACCTGTCACCACCAACCACCAGATTCTTGGTGCCAGAAGAGACCCAAGTGTCATATAATCTGGGTCTCACATGCACTCCAGCTGGCTCTTGCCACTTATGGTGGCATCTAGCCCTGCCCCTCCCCACTCGGGAAGCCCTGTGCTGACTGTGGCCGTGATCAGTGGCCACAAGAATGCTGCTGGAGAGGGCACAGGTAGAGTTGGCACGTTGTCATGACAGACATGCGCAGAAAGGTTATCACCAGGGCTTCTCAAAGCCTTGAGTGAGCGCACAGAGAAACAAGGAATACAAACATCACCAAGAAGGAGCAGGGCAGAAGGAACAAGGACCATAGCTATGGGTTTCCTGGAAGCCAAATCCAAACAGGAAATGTGGTAGGATCTTTGCTGTCGGAGAACTGGCATCGGGAACCAGGGAAGGTTCCCAGGACATCAGCTGGAAGAGGTTCTTTTCCTCCAACCATTCTTGTTCCAGGTGACCATGGTGAAATGCCAGTTGTCACAGCAGAAGAAAGGAACAAAACTGTCGCCTGTGGTCAAGCTCAGGCAGCCCCTGGGGTCCCCTTGGTGCCAGTCGAAGGTGGAACATCCCAAACTGCAGGCAGAGTCTGCTTAGGTAGGGAGATGGGGTATACTTGGGCTGTGGAAGGGCCATAGACCAGGCTTCTGGGTATGGGGGACCCCCATGACCTGTTGAGAAGCCTGAGTATAGCCAAAGATGGGGGGGACAATGAAGGGGTTGGAGTGTAGTGTAGTCTGAGGATGTGGCTGCCTTGGGGACCAGAACAGAGAAGTGTCTAGTGTCCAGGGTGTAGGAGCCTGGAAGGTGAGTTAGGCCCCCGTAAGCACCGTAGCAGGACAGGATAGGGCTTCTGGGCTGGGCAGATCTGCCCTCTGCCCCACGATGCCCAGATGAAAGGCCAGCCTTCAGCCTCCACAGATGGGTAAGCAGCTTTGGCACCACTGTGCACTGAGTCATAAAAGCTCTGGTGGTCCAGAGGGACAGTGCAGGCACTGTCTGCTGGGAATACTACAACCACCATCACCTGCAGTGCACCCTGGGGAGAGGTAGGCTAGGCTCTGGAAGTTTTGCAGGATGTGAGTACCCTAGGATCTCGGCACCACACGCAAGGTCTGGGCAGGTGGCCGCATGGTGAAAGCTGGGGCAGGCCGTAAATCCAGGTCTGCGGGGCTGAGGCCGGGCGGGGGCAGTAGGTGGTACCGCTGGAGGAGGCCAGCGAACAGCAGGAAGAGCTCTGTCCTGGCCAGGCTCTTCCCAACGCAGACCCTGCGACCTGCAAGAGAAACCGTGTAAGGTGTCAGGCCTACTCCTGGAGGGGAGAGAGCTGAGCAGAAGCTGTTGTAGACACACCCAGAAGGCCGGCAACTTACCAGTGGAGAAAGGCAGGAAGGCCCCCCGCTTCATAAAGCGCCCCTTAGCATCCAGAAAGTGGTTCGGGTTGAACTGGCTTGGGGTCTCCCACTGTGTCTTGTCCAGGAGCACTGAGGTCAGCAAAGGAATCACAGGAGTGCCCTGTAAGGCAGAGGGATCCCAGGGTAGGCGGATCCGCTCAGAGGTAGGGAAGAGGGCAGAGCACCATCTGGGGGAGTTCCTGCCTCCCACCTGCACCACATGGTGTTAGCCTCTCACGGGCGTATATGAGACCCAGGAAGTCCCCTGTCCACCCCAAGTCAAAGGGAAGTAGGTGGGGCCCCACCTTGGGGAGCAGGTAGCCACCCAGCTGGATGTCAGCAGCTGTGCAGCGGGGCACATGGGGCAGGAGTGTGATGTACCGCTGGACCTCATGAAGCACGGCACTGGTGTAGGGCAATACTCGCTGGTGCTCTGCTTGAGGTACCTGCCCGGGGCCCAGCACTCGGTCCAGCTCCTCCTGCACCCGACCTAGGCCAGAGAGAGTGGTACTGTAATGGTTAGCCCCATTCCTAACCCCTAAGGGTTCTCTCCCATGGGGTGACTCTCACCTTGCACCTGTGGGTGCTTAACCATCAGGAAGGCTGCCCACTGCAGCGTGGCCGCTGTGGTCTCTGTTCCAGCCATGACCATGTCCAGTGTACAGGCCAGGACATTAGCCTCGCCAAACATGTCCTCGGGATCATCCTCCTGCAGGGAGGGTGGTCAGAACTGGGCTTGAATCTCGGAGGAGCCAACCCCAATCTGTAGACCCTGCCTACTCCCAGGACCCAGAGGAGCATGGGTAGAGGTCAGGCTGGATGGAAAGAAAACCAGCGCTTACTGAGGGTTCACCCAACATCAGTGCCCACTCCAGGTACTCTCAGGGGCCAATCTCATAGGAAACTGAGACTCCCAGAGGTCCCCAGTGGCTGGGAAAGAGCCCTCCGTAGTTCCCCTCACGTGAACTGGGGCCACCAACCCCGCATCCCTGTTTCTGATGAAGCCCTGGCCCTGTTCACACCTGGCCCTGCTGAAGCAGAGCTTCCACGTAGCTTTGCACGGGACCGCCACTTGGCAAGTGTGCTCTCCTTGCTTCCAGGAGGGTTCTCAGGATGGTGCGCACCTCCTCGATCTTGCTCAAGACCGGCCTGTGCAACCGCAACAAGGCCCCCAGCCTGGGGAATGTGTTGAATAGCTGCAAATGGGCAGGATGGTGGGGTGGGATAGAGGTGAGGTGACAGAAGCAGTTACTGTGAGCAAGCCAATCCGTCCATCAGGCAGGTGCATCTGGCTCCAGGCTCTGGACAAACAAGTCAGGGCAACACTGCCCCTGGCCACAAGAGGGCACCAGGCCAGCAGTACTGGAGGCTTGTCACCCTCCTGGAAGTCCAGGGATCAGGGGGAAATCTCAAGGTGTTCAGGAAGGAGCCAGTTGGCCTGATACATTTGAACGGCTCTGTGCAAGACCCAAGTACTCTTTGCTGCCTGGGGACATGCTCCTTTCTATTGTTACTGGAGGGGAAAATCAGAAGAGGACGGCTACCACGGGGAAAGAGTCATAGCTATGTGTGCTCACAGGTCTTAGGGATGGGCAGTGTGTGGCTTACAATAGAGTGGATCTGGCGACAATAAGTATTTAGAATTCCGGGTGCATTGGCAATAACTGGGGGAAGTGCCTCATACTGCTCTAAGTGGTGAAGACCATGTCTACTGCCCAGGGCATCCAGGGGGATCCCGCCTTCGTCATCCCTCACAGGGAGTGTGTGGGATTGTGCTCACGGGTCTGCTCCGACCGCATGAGTGGGAAGGTCGAGCCTAAGGGCAGGTTCACCGCAGTGGCTGCTCCTCCTCACCCATGTGGGGCCTCATCCTGAGCCAGGACCCAACTGTAAAGGCTGAGTGCTGAGGGTCTAGGCTTCAGTGTCTAGCCCAAAGCCAGGACGTTTTAAATTTTAGGGCATTGGACATTAGAGAGGCTGATTTTCGTGATTTCTGTGATGAGGAGGTCAAGAAGGTGCCTAGCCAGACATGGTGGCACACACTTTTAGTTCCAGCACTCAGGAGGCAAAGGCAAGTAGATCTGGGAGTTTGTAGCCAGCCTGGTCTACATAGACAGTTCCTGGACAGCCAGGGATACAGAGACACCCTCTATCAAAAATAAATAAATAAAAGGAAAGGCGCTTGGGTGTGGGAGACCCCTCGGACACAGGTCCCACAAACTGTAAAGGCCCTCCCATGCACTTCAGCAGCTGCGCTTACTACTGTAGGGTGTGGGACTCCCTGGTCCAGATGCCCCATCTGGCAGAGAGCACAGGGCCTGGTTCATGTGCAAAGCATGCTAACCAAGGTCTGTCTTCAGCCCATGTCACACGTTCTTTGTTTGAAGGGTGCTAGCTACCAACCAGCCCTGACCTCAGGGTTTAGAACTGGGCACCACACTCTAGTTCAGCTGGGGCTCTATTTCCTGTCGGGTGGCAACCTCTCACCTGTATGCCAGGTGACCCCAACAGGACCATGACCTGGTCAATGAGACTCAGCAGGGACACAAACACAGGATCTTGGTAGTCAAAGCGCTGGCCGAAGAGGAGCGTGAAGGTGACGTTGCAGGGTGCCCAGCCCAGCACGGCCAGGGGGAAGGGCTGGCCTGGAGGTCAGAGAGGAAGACAAGCCTCAGATGGGCATACATGCTAAGCAGAGGCATCCTGGTCCCCCCACTCACCTCCATAGCTGTCCAGCTGCCCTTTAAGACAGGCTAACTCCTGAAGCACCTTGCCCACCAAGGGTGCCTGTCGCACACCCAGGCTCTGCAGTGTGCGCACCGTGAATTGACGAGCCACCCTCCAGTGAGCTCCAGAAGAAAAGAAGATGCCTGTTGGGTAGACATGAGCCATGAATGCCAGCCTCTCCCCATCTGACGATGCATGCAGGGAACAGGGTCCCACACGGAGGGGCCCCAGGCTCAACTCCAAGCCCCTCCCATTCAGAGGTTACCCTGAGTCATACTCCTCTTGCCTTGCAATAGACTGATCCTGTCTCTCCCTAATGCCAATCCAAGAGGCCAAGTCCCCTCCCCATCTGGCAAGGAACCCAAATGCCCACCTACCCCCACCTCGCTGGATGAACTGGAAGATGGGGATTGGGGGCCGGTCGGCTAGCTCATGCCCAGTCCCAACCAAGGCCTCCCTCACCACCTCGTAGCCTGACAGCACCACGGTCTTCTGAGATCCCAGCTGGATTGTGAACATTGGCCCATAGCGTTCTGAGAGCTGTCGGGGACAGACAGGAGTCAGACAGGCAGACTCCACCCACTCCACCCGTACTGTATGTAGGCTGCAAGTTTAAGAGCTGGTGAGGACCCCAGCGCCCCTCCAGTCTCCCCAGGAGGGGGCGCTGTTCAAATGTTCAAATCTCCATCTCCCCAATTCAAAGAGAAAACAGTTGAAACCGAGAAAGCTGGAGCGGATTTGTGGGTCTCACCAAGAGCCATGGCTGGATCTGCCTGATATCTGCTCCTCAGACTCACCCCTGAGGTAGAGCCTGAGCCTCTGAACCTAGCGCCTGCAGCCACATCGGAGTCTAGCCTGATCCACTCTAGGAAAGATCGGGCAGAGCCACTTCAAGCCAGCTCTGCAGCTGTTTGAACTTCTCTGCAAACAAGAGTCCCCCAGACAAAATTCAAGGACGTCCACCCCACTGAGCCAGTTACCCCTGGCTAGTGGCGGTGCAGCCAGCTTACCTTCACATCTGAGTTCTGGGGAGAAGCCGTATCCAGTTAATAATACCCTACCCAGACAAGGGCACTGCTGTGCAATCTGCAGCCCTGCCCATTTCCAGCACTTCTAGACACACCTGCCAGTCTTTTCCCCATCGTCCCAGAGCCCACCTTGCCCACCACTCCTGAACCCTGGCCTTGGCTGCACTGCCCAGCTCTATCTATCTGTCTGTCTGTCTGTCTGTCTGTCTGTCTACCTATCTACCTACCTATCTACCTATCTACTATCCTCTTTTATTTGCAGTCCTGGGGATAGAATCAGGCCCTCATGAATGCTAACCAAGCACACTACAATGAGCTAAATCCCCAGCCTAGGTCACTCTTGCCCCAACATCTGCTCTCTGGGAACAAGCCTCTGGCGTCCTGTATTCCCTACTGGCTTCCCTTGTCAGAGCTGGGACACAGACACCATGTGAGCTGTAAGATGGCATAGGGTTGCCCACCCTACCTCCATCAGTGCCCGGTCTTGTTGGGTCACGCCCAGCAAATGCAGGTTCCCCAGGAATGGCAGAGGGCGAGGCCCAGGGGGCCACCGAGGAACCAAAGAGGGGTCCCGGACATGGCCCCGGATCAATCTCCATAGCCCCAGAAATAGTAAGATCCCCCAGACACCCAGGAGCAGCAGAGCCATGTGAACAGCTGGATAGCAAACCCTCAGCTCTCCAGGGGCCCAGTGAGCCCTCTGCCTTATAGCCACCCTCCCAGGGCGTGCCGGCACCCCACCCACCCCACCACCCCGAGAATGTGGAACGAGCAGTTTACAGAGGACAGCCCAATAGGAGGCTTAAAGCTACAGGCTGTGTGGAATGTGGGGTCGTCTCTGCGGCAGGGGCCTGGGTTGGGGGCTGAAAGGACCTCTGTACACAGTACAGGGCCAAGGCTTTTTGGTCACAAGTTGTCCAAGTCTGGGCCATGTGGCTTCCAAGATACCTATATCCCTCCATGTGCCCCCAGGTTCCAGTGTCATGGTCAGAGCTGTGCCTACTCTGTCCCCAACTTTGGGAACCTATAGCTCTATGTGGTCTCCCATCAAGGTGAAACGTGGGGATTTGAGACTGGATCCTCTTCCTGAAAGAAAGGATGAGGGTCCCCTGTCCCCTCAGACTGTAGTTTCCAGAAGCTGGACCCTAGTGCCCAGCAGGCACAGGGCCTCTTATAACACTGAATGCCCTGTGCAGTCATCCAGGACCTCTCTAACCACAAGGGCTTCAGCTTATATCCTTCAGTGTGTGCTGAAGTTGAGGGAGCTCACCCCAGCAGCCTGGAGTAAGGGGCACAACCACCCAGACACTGAGAGGCCATCTAGCACACTGTGAACAGACGCAGCAGGTGGCTGGGTTTACAGCCCCAGCTGTCTGGGCTCTAATCCTGTCTCTTAAACCCTGGGGGCCTCACTGGGGAAGAGGTGTCCCAGTGAGGAAGGGCTGTGCGGGGCGGGTGGCTCTTGGCACCAGAAGTAGCTGGGTTGCTTCCCGCAGCCTGCCTCAACATGAGGCACCTGGAGTCCTGTCCCCCATGCAGGGCCCCTCACCATGGGGCCTATCCTCTAGGGTATCATCCACGCCCTGCACAAATGCTGAGCTGAGAAGCAGAAGCCAGCCACACTTCCTACACCCAGGTCTTGCTCCCTTGTATTGTCTATGGAGAGAAGCCCAGATGAGACTGCATTTCACCTTAGCACCTCTCTCCCCTGAAACAGCATGAGCCTGAGCTGGGACAGCTCCCTGTCACCACTGTGGATGTCTGGGTCATGTTTCCACCAGCTGCTACTGAGTGTCCAAGCTATCGAAGGATCTACCCAGCCAGGGAAATCTACATAATTGCTGCAGGAAGTACTTTCTGAGCACTCGCTATGTGCCAGACTTGGCCAAGAGCAAGGGCCATGGAAATCAGCAGCAGAGGGACCAATAGGATTCTGATGTCACCGTTCCAGGGCAAGACTGGTGTGACTCCGTTTGCCACTGAGCATACATTGGGAGGGAGGAAGTCAAGGCAGATGGTGTTTTATGGCGTCTGTGCAGCAGCTAGTGAATTGAGATTTGCCTGTCTGTCAGGGACAATGTGATGTGGAGATAGGTGTAGAAAAGCCAGACAGGCTGGGACAGGAGACTTGTCAGGGTGATCAGGGCTGGAGTCTACAGCCCTTCCAGGAACAGGCACGCACTCCCATATCAGCATGAGAGTCCCTACGGCTTCATGGAAGAACCACAGAAACTCACCCCAGAGTTGTCTGAGTTAAATGTCCTGATGTCCAGGAATCTCTGGATAGCTCCCCACTGCAGTATCCGTGCTTCTGCATGGCATGACTAGTGTGGCCCAAATCCTCCTGCTTCTGTCTCCCAAGGGCTGGGATTACAGACAACACTACCCAGCTACCTTGGGGGTTATTTTGGAGAAAGAATTTTGTTGTTGTTGTTGTTTGTCTGTTTGATACAGGGTTTCATGTAGCTCGGGCTGGCTTTGAACTCCTAATTCTCCAGCCTCTCCTTCCCTTGGATTACTAGTATGCACCATGCACAGGTGAAAAGGTATGTGTTTGTGTGTATGTGTGTGTGTGTCCATATGTGCAGGTTCATGTGTGTGAGTACAAGCACACATACCACAGCCTGTGTGTAGAGGTCAGAGGATGACCTCTGGTGTTACTTCTCACCTTCCACCTTGTTTGCAATGGCATTCCTTGCTTGTAGCTGCCTATGAACTACCAGGGCATGAGGGCTTCTGGGACTTCTCCTGCGCTCACCTCCCATCTTGCTGTAGGCGCACTGGGATTGGGGGTAATTTCACATCCAGCTTCACATAGGATCTGGGATCCTCAGATTGCACAGCAAGCATTTTACCCCTGAGCCTCATCCCCCAGCCTCACCTTGTTTATTCAGACAGTCTCTCTCTCTCTGGCCTAGAGCTCACCAATTCTGCCAGCTAGCCTCCAAGGGCTTTTGCCTCAGCCTCCTCAGCAGTATGATTACAAATGTGTAGCACACACTTTCTGCCTGGCTTTTTGCATGGGTACAGGAGATGGAACACAAGTCTGCGTGCTTGCACAGCCTGCCCGTCTTTTCTCCACACATATGGTGTTATTAACATATTCTAGCCCACATGCACAAAGCACGTATTCTGGGCTGCAGATTAGCATCACAGGTTTACCAGCAGACCATTCACTGAAGCACGCACCAGGACTGGGGCTCTATCTACCAGAGAGAGAGAGACAGAGAGAAAGAGAGAGAGAGAGAGAGAGAGAGAGAGAGAGACAGAGAGACAGAGAGACAGAGAGACAGAGACAGAGAGACAGAGAGAGACGGAGAGACGGAGAGAGACAGAGAGACAGAGACAGAGACAGAGACAGACAGAGACAGAGGGACATTTAAAACAGACCCTAATGAGCTTTCCCCTGTGTCTGGGCCATGACCACGATTAAGCTAGCAAACATCAGTCACTCCGCAGCTTCCTTGAGCCCAGCGTGTCCCCCACCATACAGTCATCATGCATTGCTTGATGCTATTTTTAACATGACTGTGTACCCAGAATTAGACACGGGCCTCCTCTGCTGTGCTAGGCGTGGTGGGCGTGAATGTGCACGTTGTTCCCAGCCTTAAGCTATCACAAAGCAATCTGCTAAAGATATGAGGGTAGAAGAGAGGGAGGTGAGCACACCTGGGATCCCAGCTCTGGAGAGGCAGAAGCAGGAGGACTGTGAGCCCTGGAGCATCCTGTCCTGTAGAGTAAGACTTGACACTGTGCACAGCCACAGAGACGCTGCAAAGTAGATTCTGAGTGAAGTGCTGGAGTGCGTTGTTATTTCTTGTAGTGCTTGCCGGGAATCAAACCCCAGGCCTTGCTAGGCAGGGGCTCTACCACTGAGCCACTCCTAACCCCTCACTAGGGGATTCTAGGCAGGGGCTCTACCACTGAGC